CAGAGCGGACTATTTTCCGACAAAAGGGGTTGTTATCTCCACCACTACCCCTCCCCCCCATGAACCCCTTGTCTACAGGCCTGTTTAAAATATCCCAGGAATACATATATGTCTTTGCTTCATATAGTTTGCCTGATATATATTACAAGCTTTAAGAAATTTTTTGTCACGCACGATCACAAACAATAGCACATGTAACCTACTGAAAAAATAATTGTAGCATCTTTGCGGGAAAAGACGATATTTTGAAAGTCACAGTCCCATGATTTAAAGGGAAGGGACGCAATGGGTGAAATAGCAGGACTGCGCTGTTCATAAGCACTTACAAGTAGGACATATTATCGGACCAGACTATTTAACTTTCATTATTTTTATTTTTTCTCTGTAATCTTAAGAGACAGATAATATCATTTTGACGAAAAAAAGAAACTTAGATGATTATTGTTATGCCCTTTTCATATCAACCAGAATACGATAGCGGTGCAGTCTGTATCGACACATTTTGAGAGATTGAACATTTTGGAAATTAGCCTGGCTAATGCGTAGGCAGTAGTCTAAACGCCCCCCCCCCCCCTCCTTGTAGAGATCTTCTAAAATAGTGAATGGTACTACACTTTTCGCAGCGTGCATGCCAGGACCTTCCAAAGCGTACCGATACGGACAGTGTCGCTATGGTTAACCGCCTGTGTGAAAAGAGCTGTAGATTCAACTTTGAAAATTTTACAAAATGAGCTACAATGACGGAGAGATTTACTATATTCATGTACTTCATCAAACTTAAAAGTTTTTTTTTTTATTTTTGGAATATTTAAACTTTATTCAGTCATTAAGTAGTTTTATTTGTTCATTTAATTTTTATTAATTTAATGTACATATAGTCTAACGCTGTGCGTACGTCTGTAACTAGGAGAAAAAACTAACACTGTTTAGTTTTTTATATTTTGTTAACTATCTAATAGTATGAAAATGTTGTTATACAAGTTAACTTTATATAGTTATAAAACTGATGCTAGGGTTCCCCGTTTGTTATTTGTTGGGGTGCATAAGTAGAGACAATGAATAAACTACGGTAGTGAATCGATCTTTTCAATCGGAAAAAATGTGAATTTTACAGATACTGTATTTTTGAGTCATAAATTCTTAGAATTACAACTGTGACTGATGGGAACAAAATTGAAAAGCTGACTACGCAATAGTTCTATTCTGTATAGTAAAAACAAAAAAAATGCTTTCCGAAATATAATATTTATTGATTTAAATATTGTGTATCTCAAAGATTGATAATTTTTCCGTATTGAAAAAGATCATTTCATCACCGTATTTTGTAATGTTGTATAATAGGAAGGACGTTCACTCTTTTGATACAACGCATCACTGTAACTATGCACACTTTATAGTATGTGTATAACTTACAAGACATTATGTTCATGATGATAATATATATGCTCTCTGTATATTCACTTAATGTATGACATCATGAAGAGCTGCTCCAGTTTTTATGCTCTAAACTGTTCTTGATATACGGGAGTGCGTGACGTCACTTCCATAAACAATTATCATGACGTCACCAAATTTCACATATATCCCTTCGCATTCTTCCAGGTATTTAACAATGTATTTTGTTCCATTTTAAGGGCAATTCATACATATTTTAGAGACATATAATAACGGTGCCATGGAACACGTAACAAAATATGATATATGTGCTAAATAAAGTTATATTTTACATTTATCGGCTTGAAGAGTTGTGTTCCTTCTCCGCTACCACAATAAGAACCATTCGTACACGTATACAGCATGCCGTGCTTATCGTATTAGCTGGACAACATAAACGTATTAACGTAACCCAGTCACTATAATGGAAAACGGATAAAAAGATATAAAACATTAAAAGTGTTATTGGATTAAAGGGGATCAATACGCTTGAAAGGCTTACATTTACCGGCCATACAGTTCTTTAAGGTGAATTATTTATCCTAATATCATTGCAACAAAAATGCAGGCTTTCAGGATGCACATTCCATTTTTTTTTTTTTTTTTTGCTGGTTTATCCACCACCCCTATATGCTTCTGCACATAGGATGGTTAAGCGTTACATATCAAATTTTGCTTTGTGAACTGCTGTGAGGTAGTGATCAGTTTCCAACGTAGCTCTGTCGGTAAGACATTAGCATGACAAAAGGCATGGTTGACTAGGGTGCGATCTTCAATTCGGTGCCAGTGCTTGGTTTTTATATTGTTATATTTAGGAGATTTGTGCCCCTTATTACGATGCTTCGTTTCACAAAATTAATATTTCACCCCTTTACTGGTGACGTCAGAATTTAGCCCTTCAAACTGTTTCCTGGCACCGGATTGTAGTACTTATTGTTGAGATTTAAAAGGCGTTAAAACGATGTTGACAGCTGTGCAGCTTCGGATGAAGCAGATCTGTTTGAATCGATAGTACAGTTTTCACCCCCAAAACGAAGCTGTCACATCATCCACTCAGATAAACAAATTCATCCTGACGTATTTTTGATGCGATAGCATTATCTCGTAACATAACAATGTTTTTTTTTCACTTAAACGGATAAGCAAAAACCGAATGTTTTGATCTCCGTTAAACGAGCCAATAACTTAAATCAGCCACTTTTTCGTTCAAGCAAGTCTGCATTGACTTCAGAGGCTGTGACGTCACTCGTAAAAGAGACTTTAACAGACTGCGGCATCTTCAGTAATGTTAACACATTAGGTGAACTTTTGTCTACGTTTGAAACGATGAACGACCTTTTTTACATAGAAGTGCTATGAATAAAAGCACGAAGTCCTCCGCCGGGAAATCTTGTCCTGAAGAAGACATTTGTCCAGTAATCAGACAGGCTGAGACGCCATGAGAGCCACGAGTAACACGTCGCTTACCAGTATTGGTTGTGTGGGTGTAACATCTTCATGTTTTTACAGCACAACACAGATTAGATGATTCTTTGGAGAGAGGTCTCCTTGTAACCAGAAACCATGGGGAATTGTAAACACTAACGTATCGATTCCTATGAAAGGCATTGTGAAAACAGATATCAGTCAGTCACTCGACCACGGAAATGTTTTGTCAGCATTACTCTAATTGTTACAAAATAAATCGGTTTGTGCTCTTCACATCCAGGGTCCATGTATATTGGTGACGAAATTGACGGACCGTGACACAGAACGGTTTTTATGTAGCATTATTCTCTCGTGTTGATCCCAGAGATCAGTAGAGTCATGAACGCAGTGTACGTTTTTTGGTGTATTTTATTTATTACGGATTGGTAAATACCCGTGATAACAGGTATTTGGACACTCTTTATGAGTGACCTTCAGATGGTGTCAACTCTTAACGTGACACGAATTTGTATTTCGCGGTCTTGGCGAACTGGGCTGCTCACGGAAATCAACGACAAAAGAAGAGGTACTCACGGAAATCATCGACAAAAGGCGAACGCACTTTGAGAAGCCGTTTATAGCCATGACGACACAAGACAGTTCAAACTTTCATTAACATTCATTTAAGCCTTGCCATTTTGTAAAATTAATGACTTACTCGTGCATAACGACACATCGGTACAAGTGGCACAAGACTACGGAAATTACAGCAAACTCATGACTGCAGGCCTGTTAGGTAATTGAAAAATCGCCCTTACACAACTTGGTGTGTTGAAAATTGTGTACAGTACTTTGACATTTTGCACCATGGTAGATTGGAGTCTACAGGTTTCCGCAAGAAAGATGTTCCTTTGATGCGATCCAGTTAGAGGAAATGAAAGCACGAGACAGAAAGTAATAAGACGGGAGCGAAAAATTGTTGGTTTAAGACACTGGAAAAGAGCCAATTGATGGTATACATAGAAGACGTGGACAAAGAGAGTTTCAAACAGCCAAAAAAAGAACAAAACAAATAAAAACAACAGAGAATGGGATGTAAAAATTGTTCTTTTCAAAGGCAATTTCGGAACTGAAACATCCAATTGGTTTGGACACTTAAAGTGGGTCCCCAGGGCTGCACGGAGACGTCGTACCTGATCAAATCTGACCAACAAGTAGTTTTTAAACCCTGCGACAACATTCTACGCTGCAATGACGACCGAACAAGGAAGGCAAAACGGAATATTCAGTTGAATTATATTACAAGATCTGTCATAATTGACATATACTCCGTTAACGAGTTTTACGATTAATACCAATCTTATTATAGGAAGACAAAGTTTGATGGCTACAGATGACACAGACGAAAACCAACATCTTTAATTAATGAATCTTGAAAAAACGTTCAGCGTCCTTGGTGCAGGACAAGATAGTGCAGAAGCAAAGTTGTTGTCGATTTATATAAAAAAATCTACAAGATCTTAAGCATTCACCAGATGTGTTCGTAGTGTCTGTTAAAAAGTGTCTGTTAAAGTAAAGTTTTAGTTTACACACTGTAAGAAACGACCTATTGTAACAGTTTCACTGTTTATTTGGGTTAATTTGCCTCAAATGTACTGGTGAAAATTGACGCCGAATATCAATCAAGGTGGATGAATGAAATCATTATATCTTTTCGGATTATTCAGATTGTAGTTAATATTGATGCTTTATGCAGCACACCCAAGCACTTGATTTCACATACTAATACAGCTGAAATACATGTCATTTAGGCAGGGAGACTTTCCATTCATATTGGAAAAATTACTCAAATATTTAAAACCCGCTTCAGGAGATTCTATAATACGTAATCGAACAAAACATTTCGCCACTACCGAGTTGAACCATTATTTTAACATACATTGTACGTGGTGCTAACGAAAATTGCATCTTATTGACTTCTGAGGGGCGTCACAAAATTTTCTACATATCTTTCTTCGCTTCAGTAAAACTGAAAACGAATCCCGGGTGGAAAAAATGACGAACGGAACAGAGTACGGCTGCTGGAGAATGCTCGAGGAATGTTGGTGTCGGGTTATATATGGTATATGTGCCCTTCAGCTCTCGGAAATGGCCTCACAATGGTTGTCATTGCGGCAAGTTCCCGTTTGAGAAGGCGCTCGACTTTTATTATCTTGACCTTCCTGGCCGCGGCGGATTTCGCGGTTATGCTGCTCTTCGCAATGTATTGTGGTCTAGATGATCTCATTTCACAAAATCGCAATCTGGAGTGTATCATCCACAATGGAATGGCATGGGGGAATAACACCAGTGCTTGTTTATCGTATATCTTCATCATCATGGTCGCCTTGGAAAGATTTATTGTAGTGTATTTCCCGTTTTGGGGTCGCAGGTGTCTGACAGGCGGGAAAACGACAGTCGCGTGTGTCGTCATCTGCGTCGTCATTATGTCCGCTAACTCGTATCTTTGGTGGTACACAAAACCTAGACCGGAACCGGAAGGTCGGCCATGCTACCCTGACGTCACAATGGGACACGTGTACTATTACTCGTATATCGTCAATACTAGCGCCACCTGGTTAGCCTTACTGGTTCTGTGCTTGGCTATTATCGTTCGTCTGCGCCAAGTCGCTCGAAGGCGGGTATCCCTGGTTGGAAACAGGGGCGCTTACAATGATCAAAATTACGCCAAAACCCACGTGCTGTTGCTTGCCAACGCTTTCGCTTTCATACTCCTGATAGGACCCCTCCTATGCGTAGACTTGGCCGACGAGTTCTCCGCAGAGATCCCCTTTTACATCCGAGCGTGGCTTTTCCTACTGAGCAAAACGAACCACTGCGTGAATTTCCTTCTCTATGTTCTCACCAGCTGGGAGTTTCGCCGGGAGTGCTGGGAAACGTTCAGGCGTCTTACCTGTTGCCTTAGGCCAGTGAGAGAACCGCATGCTACGGCCATGTCGCCCCTCCCTGCCCTCGACAGTCCTGTCGGCAATCAACAAGCGTTTCTTTTTCCTCCTGCGAACCAGCCCAATGCCAACGACCTCCAGAAGAAAGGCATGTGCAGAAGTGGCGCTCCTCCATCTTGTATGGACCATCTGTTGCCTCAACGTGCTCCTCTCGCCATATTGGACGAGTCGGAACTTTAAACAATCCTTGCTTTCTGTGCTTTCTGGAGCCACAGATCCCAAAATTATTCTGTACATCGTGTAATTTATCGAATCGTATCTCGTGGAAACAACTGTCGCCATTGTTTTCTTAACGCAACACGCTGCGAACTTAAGAGTGCAGAGGGATTAGATTTGATATTTAGCAAAACGATTGTTTAGATTCACTATTCAACACAAAATTTTTGCTATTTCGCCAAACGATGCATTATATTTGCTATTAAGCAAAAACAATAGATTTACATTTGTTATTTTGCAGAAACGATAGATTATAGGCCTATCAGCTGTTTAGAAAAAACGATGGATTAGATTTTCTACTCAGCTTAAACAATGGAATATTTTCGCAAAAAGACACGATGGAATATATTTGCTATTCAGCAAAAACGATGGGTTATATTTGCCATTCAGCAAAACCATGGATTCTATTTGCTTTTTAACAAAACGATCGATCAAAATTTTCAGTAAAACGAATCACGCTATGGCGTGCTTCTTTAAATCGGACGGTCGCATGGAAAGATTGATCTTTTCTCAGTGGAAACACGCCTCGCCTCGAATGTATGTAGGCGACGCAGGCCCGATGTCGTATAAAATTTAACTTTCTGCGTTATTTGTATTGTGTCCGATTCGTTTTTTTTTTAAATTCTTTGACAATATTTGTTGTCGTGAATGAATTTTGTACTGAGTACAATCAGTGACTTTTTTTAGACTTGTCAAGCGTAAAATGTGTGAATATTGTGACAATATATGAACATTTATTTGTTAGGTGATTTATCTGTGATTGACGTTCATTGTGGCTACAATGGAAAATTAAATTAATTTTGATAAAATGGCAATTTTATGTTTCTTACATTCACGTTTTTATTGAACGATAATTACAGTTTTATTCAAAGTTATGTAATACTTAGAAAAACATTTTAATAAGTGTTGTACTTGTTGGAAATACATTTGATAAAATGTTGTACACTGTAACAGTGAAAAGCTGATTTCTCTTTCTCTTATGAATGGCACATTTTTAACTAATTGCTTTTTACAAATATTGACCTCAATGCTGCTGAAATTTATACATCAAACTTGTACCTACACGTATGTTTGCCGATAAGATTGGTTTTCTCTACTACTTTTATATAGTACTAAAACTTGCTGTGCTCGCCAAAGCGAAACTTGATTTTCGCGCCATGAATGTTTAATAAACGTACTAACCGAACCTCTTCAGTTTTTAGTTCTTGCTGCACAACGATCGATGTGCGAACTAGACACGTTGCAGTGCAACAAATTGCAACAATCTACATCAATAACACCTGCTGTCCAATGCAAAAAAAAATCTCCTCAAATATGGGTCGATTTCCTATAGTCTACTATAGGACTAAACTTTTGTTTAGGCATAGACAGCAAATCTCTTGTAATGGGACCCTCTACATTATCATTATCAAGTTTGCCGGGCCTTTATAGCATAATAAGCGAAGTGTTACAAATCTACCCAGGGGAAAGTTTGGGCTCATTGGCATTGAAATTATCGGTCTCGTTCCAAGTCCCTCGCTGAACTCAATCAGTTTAACAGATTAACACGCCCCCTTTTCTTTCCAAAGCACTCGTATAATCAGCAGCTTTTTTAATTCTGCCCAACGCTAGTCTGTTAAACTGATTGCATTCGGCGAGACCCCCATGGAGACCCCCATGGAGTTGGATCGATCTACGTAGACCGATAATTCCAATGGGAATGAGGCTTTTCGCTATATTATAACCCTGGGCGAAACAGGCGTGGTTGAATGATACCATGAAACCGTTGACTGAACTTGAATGATATCCAGGCCATTAATTCCCTTCTCAAAATGCGCCACTGACAAAAAAGCTTATCCTTCTGCAGCATGAATGTATGCAGTTTTGAAAACAATTAGATAAATAAATCAACAAAATGTTACCAAAGAGAACAACGATGCTATTTCTCTTGTGAATTCTAAGTGAATTCTAAGTATCCGAATTAAAGCTACATGGCTGAAGCGTTGGAAATGAGAAGCTGGTAGTCCTAGGAATGGTAGCCCCATATGATTAGTATAGTTTACGGTTAGTCAGAGTATTGGGGTTTGTATATGGGCCGAATGTCACCTGTACAAAGTAATGGCGAACGGACTACGGTTCCTAGCGGACTNGCTTAAACAATGGAATATTTTCGCAAAAAGACACGATGGAATATATTTGCTATTCAGCAAAAACGATGGGTTATATTTGCCATTCAGCAAAACCATGGATTCTATTTGCTTTTTAACAAAACGATCGATCAAAATTTTCAGTAAAACGAATCACGCTATGGCGTGCTTCTTTAAATCGGACGGTCGCATGGAAAGATTGATCTTTTCTCAGTGGAAACACGCCTCGCCTCGAATGTATGTAGGCGACGCAGGCCCGATGTCGTATAAAATTTAACTTTCTGCGTTATTTGTATTGTGTCCGATTCGTTTTTTTTAAATTCTTTGACAATATTTGTTGTCGTGAATGAATTTTGTACTGAGTACAATCAGTGACTTTTTTTAGACTTGTCAAGCGTAAAATGTGTGAATATTGTGACAATATATGAACATTTATTTGTTAGGTGATTTATCTGTGATTGACGTTCATTGTGGCTACAATGGAAAATTAAATTAATTTTGATAAAATGGCAATTTTATGTTTCTTACATTCACGTTTTTATTGAACGATAATTACAGTTTTATTCAAAGTTATGTAATACTTAGAAAAACATTTTAATAAGTGTTGTACTTGTTGGAAATACATTTGATAAAATGTTGTACACTGTAACAGTGAAAAGCTGATTTCTCTTTCTCTTATGAATGGCACATTTTTAACTAATTGCTTTTTACAAATATTGACCTCAATGCTGCTGAAATTTATACATCAAACTTGTACCTACACGTATGTTTGCCGATAAGATTGGTTTTCTCTACTACTTTTATATAGTACTAAAACTTGCTGTGCTCGCCAAAGCGAAACTTGATTTTCGCGCCATGAATGTTTAATAAACGTACTAACCGAACCTCTTCAGTTTTTAGTTCTTGCTGCACAACGATCGATGTGCGAACTAGACACGTTGCAGTGCAACAAATTGCAACAATCTACATCAATAACACCTGCTGTCCAATGCAAAAAAAAAATCTCCTCAAATATGGGTCGATTTCCTATAGTCTACTATAGGACTAAACTTTTGTTTAGGCATAGACAGCAAATCTCTTGTAATGGGACCCTCTACATTATCATTATCAAGTTTGCCGGGCCTTTATAGCATAATAAGCGAAGTGTTACAAATCTACCCAGGGGAAAGTTTGGGCTCATTGGCATTGAAATTATCGGTCTCGTTCCAAGTCCCTCGCTGAACTCAATCAGTTTAACAGATTAACACGCCCCCTTTTCTTTCCAAAGCACTCGTATAATCAGCAGCTTTTTTAATTCTGCCCAACGCTAGTCTGTTAAACTGATTGCATTCGGCGAGACCCCCATGGAGACCCCCATGGAGTTGGATCGATCTACGTAGACCGATAATTCCAATGGGAATGAGGCTTTTCGCTATATTATAACCCTGGGCGAAACAGGCGTGGTTGAATGATACCATGAAACCGTTGACTGAACTTGAATGATATCCAGGCCATTAATTCCCTTCTCAAAATGCGCCACTGACAAAAAAGCTTATCCTTCTGCAGCATGAATGTATGCAGTTTTGAAAACAATTAGATAAATAAATCAACAAAATGTTACCAAAGAGAACAACGATGCTATTTCTCTTGTGAATTCTAAGTGAATTCTAAGTATCCGAATTAAAGCTACATGGCTGAAGCGTTGGAAATGAGAAGCTGGTAGTCCTAGGAATGGTAGCCCCATATGATTAGTATAGTTTACGGTTAGTCAGAGTATTGGGGTTTGTATATGGGCCGAATGTCACCTGTACAAAGTAATGGCGAACGGACTACGGTTCCTAGCGGACTGATATTCCTGAAGTCAACTTAGAGAGCATTCACATCGAGAAGAGCCGAGGTCTAGCAAGGTCGAGACCTAAATATGTCGGACCTACATGAAAGGAAACCGCGTAATCCTTTAATAGTCTCTCAATGAATGCCATCGAGAGACCGCAGTTTACTTTCATGTAGGTCCGCCATATTTAGGTCTTGGCCTTGCTAGACCTCAGCTCTTCTCGATGTGAATGCTCTCTTAAATAACGAAAATGAGCTATGTGAAGATCCTTTGGAAGTTGTTGTAGCTTTATTGTGCACAAAGCGCATTTGGAGTATGTACATGTATAAATTATTTATCAGCAGCATTTTGTTATAAGCTCTTTGTACGTTGGTGTGATTTTAATTTGTGTATTACTATTTGTTGTTTATGTCTCCACACCGTAACGGACAATAAAAAACACAATTACAGCGAAGAGGGTTTGGAATCAATATCCACTGTATTAACACGACGAAATGATAAAAATAATTTTCAGTACCATTTGGATTTTTTGTGTTACGTGAACAAGTAATTTGTTTATCACATCCAGTAATGATATAGGGGACACAACATGAGGTTAAATTGCATCTTTTTCAACAGTTAATGAACAATCACAAAAAGCTTTTTCAATCAGAGTTACTCGTGTGAAGCTATCAATACCAGTGAATACATGTATAAAGACGTACTTTGCGTCTAGAAATCAGAGCAATTACTTCAATGTTGCTTGGTTGAAGATGGCTTGAACATGTTGGATTCTGAGTTCTGGAACTGAATACAAAATGTTTTTGGATAAATGTTTCAATGATAGGAAATAAATGGTTGGATACAGCCACGTAGTCAGCAATTTCAATGAAGGGGTCTTTTTTTGGAAAAAGTGGACCTTATATCATGAAAGCTTCGTGTACCTAGGCCAACGTTTACCCAGAGCGGACCTTTTTCAGGCAAAAAAGGCTGTTCGTTCGATCCCCGTCCCGACCCAATGGCGGATTTAGAGGGGGTGAGGGGGA